TCTCTCTCTCTCTCTCTCTCTCTCTCTCTCTCTCTCTCTCTCTCTCTCCGTGCACGCATTGTGTCTGTGTGTGCATGTGTTGACATGAGAGCAGCACTCGTTCTGGCTTTGGAGGATTTTGAGCGTGGGAGTGGGTACAGACCAGGCATGGCCCCAGCTGGCACCGTCAAAAGCCCTGCCCCAGAGGTGAGATGAGATGCCTATGTGAATCACCTTCTCGTGTAGTAGCGATGCCACAAACAAAGAAACTTTCAACACTAACATAAATGGGGAGCCGCTTGTTCTCGTTTAAGTTTCAAAATTAGCTTCTACCCGGAGGGACTTGGCTCAACCCTGCAGGGGATTGGGGTGCTGCAAACCCATAACTCTCAGTCCCCATCTTATACACAGAATACAACAACACAACTTCTGGGTGCTTGGTGGGTACAGTGGGTAGTTAGTGTGAGGTTGCACCTAAAAAAAAAAAAAAGAAGGAAACAATTACACGAATGTGAAAATATAAGACCCAGCACGCATCTAGTGGTTTAGTAGTGTATAAAAGTTAAAAGTTAAAAGGTAATAAAACTGTGTATGCGTTAACCATTAACCATTGTGGGTGCCCCAACTACCGTCTTCACCCAAATAGAACGCCCGGTCATTATAGCCGTATTTGGTGCACTTTTCAGTCCAGATACAGCTATAATAACCGGGTGTTCTATTCAGGTTAAGACGGTAGTCGGCTCTGACTTGGAAAAAAGGGATGCTCTCAGCGCTAAGGACCAAGGCTACCAGCCAGGCCGCCCGGGTGACCTTGTTTGCCCAGGCGGGCCGGCCGTGCAAGGGCCAAAGTAGGTCCCAGCAAAAAAATAATAATAATAACAATAATAATAAAATAAAAAGATCGAAAATTTTAAAAACTCTGAAAAAAAAAACTATGTTATGCAGAAAAAAAACTGAACAAATTTTGCCTCAGGGTCGCATTGAAATTCTTTACCAAAAAAAAAAAAAAAAAAAAAAAAAAAAAAAAAAAAAAAGACTAAAAAGTCTAAAATAGTTCAATTTTTTTTTCTAATATTTTTTTAATTCTTTTTGGCCAGGCCGGGCAAGTGGTACCGAGCCACTCTGGTAGCCTAGCTAAGGACAATATTGAGGCAAGGTCTCATGCAGCTCTCGATGCTAATGGTCTACCTCTGTGCAGATGTTTGACGTCTCTTTTATTAACTGCTCTTTTTTTTTTTATAATTGGTGATCTCAGGCACTGCTTGCACTTATGGATGTCGCCTACACAGGGTCAATAAGTGCAGATGATGGCAGTGGTGCTGGGAATGTCACAGCGGCCGGGAGCCTAGAGGCTCGTAGTGCTTTCTTCACCGAGCTTCTCAGGGATGAGAACGAAGGCCTTGTTGTAAGAATTCCGAGCACTTGTATCCTTCCTTATCCCCCCATTCTACTCTCTCTCTCTCTCTCTCTCTCTCTCTCTCTCTCTCTCTCTCTCTCTCTCTCTCTCTC